ATATATATATATATACATTTGCTGTAATTAACAACAAGCCATCAAAACCAGTAAAAGTATTAAGATATTAGCAAGGAGTTTGTTAAGATAGTAATGTGGCTTTATGTAATATCTTACTTGCTTTGATCTGAGTTGATCTGCCACTGTTTGTCTGTTTGTTTGGTTAATAAGACACACAATCAAGAGTGCATTCCTTCAGGACACTCTAGAGTACATTCCACTGCCTCCAAGATCATTCTAGCAACTTCTGAAACAAAACGATCAACCTATTGATCAAAGAAATCTCATTATTAGCAACCTTTTATAATGTCTTTGATTCATTTGATATCACTTACTACCTCCATTATGGTTATCCACCAAAGCGTAACCCGGTAGAGTCTATTGTTGTTCCGTCATGTCTGTTATAATTAGTATCACAGTGTAATTGATCCTGCTCACTCATCCATGGATGTACATATTTTATTTCACTGCTGTTTATAAACATTCAAGACCTCATGCAATGAGAACCCACTTTATCCTTATAGACTTCAAGACACGCTATGAATATTCACTTTGGCACTTTCTAGTGCTCTTTATTATATATCTAAACTGCTGTTATCTTTTAAACAAATACAGAAATCCTGATAAAAAACACAACAATAATTATTCCAGTTAACTATGCTTTGTTATGATGACGATTCTACCTTTCTCTTTCCTTCTCTCAATAGGTAAATAACTGTTCTTAATTTATTAACATTTAAAGCTTGTCAGTGAAAATCAAAGTCTAAAAATGCAAGTTTACCATTAATTATTAGCACTTTGTTTTTACTTACTTGGAATATTATGTGTACTAAGAAGTTTGTGATAGGCCAAAATAATAAGTACTGGTGGCTTCTGTGAATTAAACATTAACCAACAGTCCAATGTAATTGGCTACAAGGCTATTTTGAATTCATTGTAAGTTTGAAGAGTATTCAAATGCTTGTAGTGTCTTTACTATAGAGGTTCAAGCTGAGAGTCCTAGCTAGGATTATTCTATCTTTGAAGCCAGCCACTTGAGTGTTATTTGCTTGGGTTCTGAAATATTAAGTTCTGATTGGACCGGAAAGTAGAATCAGCAATGGAACACTTTCAACTGTTTTTTGCTCTTTCATTTTCACTCAGCCAAATCTTTGGTCATGTCTACATGTGAAATGCCAGCTCAAAGAAGTGAATTCTGTATTGTTTTATGCCTTGAAATGACTTCAGAACTGTAGTACATTGTACTCAAATAGGCTATAACAAGTTTTTCACAGCTTGAGAGTGAATATTCAAACTCAAAGTCAGTAGAGGAAGTTACTGGTGTTCAAGTTATCAGAGTGTTTGCCAACTAGTTTGATCTCCATTGGTGATCAGTGTGCTAGGGGCTATGGTGGATGACTCACTCTTTCCCAGTGAGATATCAAAAGACTATCTGGATATTCTTACCCAAATAGAGGAATATTGCAGTAGAGGACCTGAGGTTGATTTGCCTACCAAACCTTTGAGTTTAAATCATGGTAAATGATACATTATTGGTTATATTCTTTAATTTTCACTCATGACCAGAATGTTTTGTATCTTATTCAAAAAGATATGATCATTACTAATAATCCTGTAGAAACGTTTATTGGATTATAATTATTTTAGATTCAAACAATCTATTTTTTAGATTTCAGTAGATAGCTTCAGTGCTTTTGCTTAAACTTAAATTTTCAAGAAAAAATTGAAACCCCATCTTTCTAATTTACCTAAATTCATCAATATTCAAACTGCAGACATAACCTTTGTCTTGAAGGCAGACAAAGGGTTTCAAAATGCAAAATTTATGCCTTGGATTCATGTAATCTCACTTGCAAATTAATCTCACTGTCAATTTGAAGATTTTAACGAAAATTCATTAATCTGGAAATTGAAAGTCTTATTGTTTCTTGCACTTTTGTTTGGGCTTAATATACCCTTGAACATTGTCGAGAACTTTATATAGTATATTAGATCTGAAAAAGTACTGACATCTTGTACTAATTTAATTTTATTCCTTCCTCTCAATTCTCACATGCAACTACCACAAGCACATGTTTAATCCAAAAGATTAATCAACCATGAAAAATAAAAAAAAACTTAACAAATAGTTTAACAATCTTGTAATTGATCTTACCAATTGCTAGTTAACTTTTTAAACCAAGCCAGCTTTCCTAACCTTAATATTCTGTCATTTATAAAAATATAGCTTATTTTTCCCCAGAGAGTTTGATTACCAATCAAACCATCATCTTTATGTTTTATGTGTTGTCTATATACCTTTTTTCTCCAGAAATTCTTCATATTTTTCCCCTCAGTAATTTATGTTTGTAAATGTATGCTGTTTTTCACATTGTCTTATTCTTATTATTCTTTGTTCACCTTGACACTGTACTGTAGTTCAGGAAGTGTAGTTACACGTAGTGTATTTATGATGTGGTCTATCTATATTGTCTATTTGTCTCTGGTATGAAGAATGAACATGCAAAAGAGTAGTTATTTTGTCTTTCAAAGTACTTAGTCATGTCTGTAATCTTTTATTTCTTTACCTAACACAAACATAATATAAGCATTCAAGTGGCTTTATTATAAGAGTTGCGAAAATGACATATAGTCTCATCTCAAAACGTTCTCATGGTGTTGAAAATGATATCTGCATGGTGTTGATAATGATGTCTCCATATCACTCACTATCTATTTAAATTAAATCTGGCTTATTAAATTATGCCAACATTTACCTTACCAAAAACTGAAAGACTGTAAAATAACTTTTGAAATCCTTAAAATAACGAATACCACTACTTGAATTATTTTAGTTAAATAGTTATTAGAAAACACTAAATACATTTTAGGTCAACGTATAACCTGTACTTGACAGGGTCAAAAAATCAATCTTAAATTTCAGTAAAACTTTATACCCTTGATTGTCTGAGCATGTTATTAGCATTTGGAAACTAAAATACTTGACATTGAGCAACGTATTCTGGGATAAAATTCCAAGATGCATTGAACATTGAGGTTATAAAGTCACACCTGACAACCTTCTTTTCTTTATAAGTAAGTCAATAAGATAATCATCATTATATAGATACTTGTTTCTTTGAAGATTGTTGTCACTTTGATATAAATCAATTAGTATGCATGTCTTTTTATTTCATATATGGCTATGAAATTATACGGTTTTAAGTATTTAGTGCACTTAGTTAGGTTCTTATATAGTTTCGTGGTGTCAAATTCATTAGCAAAGTAAAGAAAGGCATTTTGTAATTTGTAATTTTGTAATTTTATGGCTTCAATCCTGACATAGGAAGTGTTACTTGAAACTGAAGTAGTAGGGCATTTCTTTTGTTTTACAGGTCAGGTAGAATGCTCTCTGGTAAACTACCGAATTGGTATAAGAAGTCAAACTTCCCTTTAGGGTCATGCTTCTAAGATAAATAAGCACAGATTGTTCAAAACAAGTAGCTGTTTGAATTTTTTTAAAGTACAGGCTCATTACAATAATATTAGCTGTGGGGCTGAGGAGTCATTAAAAAAAATTAATTTAGATTATAAAATTTATGGCCACAAGTTTACTCAAATTTCTCAACGTTTCAATGTCGTTAGGCATTGAGAAATTTGAGTAAACTTGTCATCACAAAAATATATTTTTCTTGATCAATGTTATTTGTATCCTTTATTGCAGGACCCCTTAGAGTCAATGGAGATGTTAATTCTGAAGAAGGAAAGGTACATACATATACAGTTAACTCTTGCCTTGCGGACAACCCAATATTAGTACACGCACCTTGCTATTATGGACAGGAGCAAAATCCTGGGCTAGAAAGAAATGACGTAATTAACTTACACTGTTGTGGACGTACACTATTATGAACACCAGTCCTGAAACAGTCAGTCATGAGGGTGTTCGCTGTAACAAGAGTTGGATATAATTATGACCTAATAAATATCAATCTGCTAACATCTGAGTGAGTGAGCGAGTGACACAATTGCATATTTAGGCCCATCACAATAACTTATTTTTATGCCTTGTGTATCCAGGAGTTAATAAAAATAATCAAAGAATGAATTATGATAAATGATAACTAGAAATTTAAATTTTATCAAACCCTACGAACATCCTCTGGGCTGATAGAAGGCACAACTTATCCACAAAATGAATTGGAATTTAGCTTGTTAGGTTTTGCAGTGACAGAAAAACTCTGCTATTATGTGGTGAGTCCAGGAATTGAACCTGAGATTCCAGAATTGAGAGACAAGCACTACTACTGCCACTACAGCATACTGATTCAATTATTAATGGCCACATTTATTAATATTATTCAAATATCTATTCATAAAAACATTTTAAAATGTATCAATTGAAACATAACAATAGAGAGCCAATACACTTAGCAATAAATAAAATAATAATTAAGATTTATTAAAAGAATACTCAAAATTAAATAATGCTGATCTTTCAGACTTCCCCTACACATTCAAGAGGAGGGTCTGCCAAGAAACTTTCTTCAGGAAGAAAAACCAATAGCAATAAGAACTCTAATTCAGGTAAAAGAAGTAGTCAACTTATCCACTCATGTCAGACGCTTTCCTTTACTCCTTAAAATATATTTCAGGAGACTATGAAAACATATGAGTTGGCATCAGGTTCTTTCCACAGTATTTTGTTTTTGCAGACACTACAATTCAGAGCAATAAAGTGATTGATATCTCTTCATTCAACAAACAAAACAAACTCATTCTGGAATGTCATTTGTTTTTTGTTTTTGTTTATTTCTTTGTTTGACAAATGACAATAATTTGCTCAACCAATGATGTGCTTGTGCGTAGGCAGGGTATAAAATAACGGCTGGACATCTGACATTGTCTGCCCAGAATTGGAACTTTTCCCGTCAAATCTTTGCCTTGCCGGTCATTTTGACCTTCAGTAACGTTAAGCCACAAAGGAAGTATGACCGAGCTAAAACTGATTTGGCCGGTCATCATGACAGTCAACTTACCAGCCGTTATTTTAAGCCATGAAAGGAGCCAACTGATTAAGGATAGTATGTTTTACATTTTTACTTTGCTTCAATAGTTTTTAAGTATTTCTCAAGTTGTTAATGTGGTATGATTTTCAGGTACTGCTGCAGGTGCTATTGATGAGACAGACTTTGTCAATTCTTATGATGATTGTCCAAATGTCAGGGTAAGACATTGGTTTCATGATGTACCAGTAAGGCTTATTAAGGCTAATTAACTGGTATCCTTTGGTTGGTTTGGTAGCATATTTTGGCTGTAAGAAAATTGACCTTGCTCCGGTATGGAGCTGATCTTTATCCTTAAGGGAGAGGAGTTCTAAGTTAGCAGAAGCTAGTTATGGACAAGAGTGTTAAGGGACTTAATTGTGTCACCTTTTAATGACTTTGTCAACCTTTACTGCTGAAGCTGTCAAAGTGTTACAGCACCATCATCAACAACAGCAGCAAAGACAACATAAACAGTGTAAAATAAAATAAAAAGGCAATTAATCTTTTTTTTCTTTTCTTTTCAATAGATATACTCTAGTAAAGACCTAAGTGATGAAATGACAAAAATTCAGAATGTTTTGTCCGATGACAAAAATGATTGGGAGCAGAGAATTGCTGCCGTAAGTATCCCAGCTATTTCAAATTTAATCAAATTCAAAAACAAACACCATTACAAGAAAGATGACATTAAAATAACTGAAATGAAAATGGGATCTAGTTTTTGGTCAAGTTGTAACAAAATTATATTTTTTAAATAAATTCTAAAATATGGGGAATGTATGCATGACTGGGCTGTTTGGCTGGATTGTTTCTATATGGCCAAACATCCTGAAACTTGGCCAAAGAGCTTATTGTATTTCTTTCTTTCTTGATGGCCTTAATTTTTCTGAAATATTCACTGAATTAATTTTTCCAACTTGGACACAGTCCCTTGCTCATTTAGGTAAAGGCTTACTGTATGAGTGCACATCATATATCAGTGAAACAATAACTTACTATTAGTGGGTAACTGTAGAGCATTTCATTATCAACTAACTACATAAGAATTCACTAAGTCATGAACTAAACAAAGATGAGTAGAGGTATTTGCTTCTGCTCCCAATATTCTGCTCCAGTGACTATTTCGTACAAAATAGTGCAATATTAGATGATAGAACTTTGGTTTTGTTTCACAGATATATGGTGTTCAATCTAACGTTGCATAATTTTAAATCTTTCTTAACTTCAGATGAAAAAGATCCGTAGTACTATCCATGCTGGTGCTTTGGAGCATAATGACTTTCTTGGCATGATTAAAAATTTAGAAGGAGCATTTAAATTAAATGTAAGTAAGATTGGAATATACCAGTAATCCAAATGAATATAATTTATGAAAGGACTAAGGGTTTTTTCTTTTGCATCTCTATCTGTCTTTAGGTTGCACTCAACACTGTACATTGTAATGGGGAGAGTTCTAAGTTCCTATATTATTATCAATATAGAAATGCAACAAATAAAGATTAAAGCCTAGTTTTCACTTAGCAATACAATTAAAATAAATGCTAGCGCAATCACAAAGAAAAGGAAAACGTTTTTCCTACAGCTTCTACACTACACCACACAGAGGACTAACATGCAAATTTGAATCTTTTCAGGCTAAAGATTTGAGATCGTCAGTCATCAGGGAAACCTGCATAACGCTAAGGTAAAAGATGTCATCATATGACTGATCCTTATTATGTTTCTTTACAAACTTTCTGTACATAATTATACTGTCTGTGTTGCAATTATTGGGGGGGGGGGGGTAGTGTTGTAAATTGAAGCAAGAATTAAAGAAAATATGGTATAATTTTTTTGTTCTTGCAGTTATTTGTCCACCCAACTTGGCAGCCAGTTTGACCATACAGCTGAAGCAGTATTTCCTTGTCTGATGAGCCTGATACCAAATAGTGCAAAGGTCAGCCACTAGTTTGTCATTTATAGAACTACTCTCTTCAAGAATGTAGTAGTAAATAAGCAGTAGAGTGGTACTTGGAGGGGTTGGGGTGGGATGGAGTGTCTTGTCCTTCATTAAGTTTATTTATTCCAAAATGTAGTGGAACAGTAGGCAGCAAAGGGGCACCAGAGGGTGTGGCTGGAGGTGAGGAACACAGCAGTTGTGGATAGACCCTAAAAAGAAACAAGAAACACCCATGATGATAATTAAGTGACCCAGAAAAACAACTGAAAAATTCTTAAATTTTTGGCCTTTTTCAATTGAGGCTTCAACTGTCTGGGAGTTTGTCTTTTTCCCTGGCGATTAATTATAGAAATATGTTGACTAAAGCTCTTGACACACTGTGCAACATTATGTGCAATGTTGCATGCAATTTATGTTGTGAGCCATGACATACGAAGCAATTCGTTGCACACAACGTTGCTGAAGTAGAAAACTGTCCTACTTCAGCAACATTACCTGCAATGTTGTGCGCAATGTTGCACTGTGTGTCTGTGCCTTAAAGCAAGGGCTGATACAGGGGTGGTAAAAGGGGTGACTAGTCACCCAAATTTTCCTCAAATTCATAGTAAAACCTTTGTAATAGTCTGACCCCTCTTCTAAAATTCCTGGATCCGCCCATGTAAAGCAAATGGCAACTATTGTCATAGTTAGCTGTATCTATTTACATAATCACCATCTTTGCTTGGCCCTTTTTTATTCAGATTATGGCAACGTCTGGAGATGCCTGTATTAACATTATCTTGAAGGTACTCATCATTATTGTCTGTTTCTTGAGTATGAAAACTGTAGTATCCAAAAAAAAAGAACATGCACTGTTATCTTTTTTTTAACTGAATGTCTGGTTTTCGTCTCTAGAATACGCATGCACACCGCCTGATTTCCATCCTGGTCAGTAACATGGCCTCCAAATCAAGTGTCTTAAGAAGGTAATTATTATTGCAAAAGACGTAGTAAACAAAACAGCCGTAATACGCGTCCTCACTCATCCTTTATCAAGATCAATGTGTTCATTATTGCAGGCATCATTCATTATCATTACCTTTCACCTCTATTAAGGGTCGTTTACTCGGCCATATTTGCAGCGATTTGAGGTGCGACTTTTGCGACGATTCGTTCATAGTCAAGAATGGTCAAGGATTAACTTGTACAGTTTTACACTAGACACCAAGATTACCTGGACAAATGTCTCTTTAAAAGCGTAGGACAAATTCTATTATATTTAAAGAAATTAAAGAATCGCACCTCAAACAGCAAAAATCGTGTAACCGGGCCATAAGAAAAGACTATATGTGATTATAATGATACATGGAAATTAATGGTCGTCACCAGCAGTTTTACTATTTTATCATATTTCCCCTGTTGTACAGTAGTAGTAACCTTCCTTCGTTGTTTCTAGAAACTGCGCGTCCAAGTTACACTTAGTGTTAGATATATGGGAAACACAAACGATTAGAAAGTAAGTAAAACACCAGAAGATGTCTTCTCTTCCCTTTCCTTCCTTTCCATCTTTTCCCCTCTCTACCTTGTCCTCCTCATCGAAAATTGACTTTTCCCCTACTTTGGTATTTATAGTCACGTAGTAGAATTAGAAGACTTCATTCGCAAAGGAATATCAGATGCTGACTCGGAGTGCAGAGCAACTGCTAGAAGGTACGTGTTTATTGGGCGTAACGTAGGCGTAACGTAGACCTACCTTGTATCCTGACGGGATTTTATACTATACCCGCGAAGGGAAAAGTGGCGGGATCCCGGAGGGGGTAGGGTACTCCGATATATCCAGGGCGGTGATGATCGTCGTATCTTTTAGGGGTTGAAATCGTCAGTCACTCCCTCATTTAGGGGTGAAAGAGGAAAAGCTGAACATTGTTTTTTTTTTAGCACGTGCAGTATCTTTTAGTGGTACGCGATTGCTAGCGCCACAAAGAATAAACCGGATGTCAGTTATCAGTTCTATATTTTCAGTGTATGTTGTAATTAACCCAGGACCACACCCAAACATTATCTTTTAGGGGTAAAAAGTTTTTTTCATCGATTGTTTCCGCCCTTTTTACATGGGAGTACACCCACTCCCCCGGGGCTAGGTGTTTCTTTTCTCTACACGATCTGTAATTTAACTGTTGACTCTTTTGAACCAGGGCTTTTTGGGCTTACCATAAACATTTTCCTGAGAAGGCAGAAAGGTGAGCAAAATATTCCATGTATAAACTGAATGGATGTACTCTTTCTTTTGTGATTCGACTGGCGCCAATAACAACATCGAAGCGAGACGAACGGTGAGCTTGCAGTGATAGAGACATGTGAATAATTGTTCAAGGTGTTAAAAAAAGGTCTCTATCATTCCAAGCTCACCGTTCGTCTCGCTTCGATGCAAAGACAAGGCTACCTTTTAAGATGGCTTATTGAACTGTGTAGGGGACAATTCGATACTGATTCAATTTATTGTTCTTTTTTGTTACAGTATATTAAAAACATTAGATCCTTCTAAACAAAAACAACTAGAGAACGATCGGAATGGAACAGGACTGATCAAAGCATCCACAGGAAGGGCAGCACCTGTTCGACTACCTAAACCAAGTAGTGCACCACGATCTAGGGGATCCAGTACGTCCAGTACGCACAGTGAAGATGGGGCCACGTGAGTAAAATATCTTTTTCTCTCTGAATCTTTCATCATCATCACCATCATCATCATCATCATCATCACCATCATCATCATCATCAATACTAATAATAAATATGATGATAATGATAAGGATTTCATTAAGATATTTTATAAGTTTGTTTGTGATAAGATGAGTTTCTGATAAGAGATTTTTCAGTGGTTGGTCACGTCAGACGCCCAATCATTTTATTAGTAGTAGTAGTAGGCATATTTACGTAATATTGCCATAATAATAAAATATTTGTACATTCCTACTCTCGATCTTTAAGCGGGTTTTTAATTCATCCCTTATTTTCTGCCTTTTATTGTATTAGTTTGTTGCTGTTCATTTCGTCTTATCTCTTTCTTTCATTTTTAACATGATTATTGTGAATGCCACTCACTCACTCACTAAGACATCACGAGATCGATAATATACTATTGATAATAAGATAGTGATCGATGGTTTGTTCTTTGCGTTCTGTCGTAGAAGTCGATCAAGTGCTCCAACACGTAACGCACCACACAGCAGTTTAACAAGATCCAATTACTCCCAAGGTATGGCTTAAGAGGAACTAAAAAGTAATCAAAAAATGAAAAAATATTAATGTTTTGTACTTCGCTCGAACGAGCTTGTCTAGCTTTAGAAACGGTGTTTTTAATGTTGCGATTACTCCCGCTTCGCCAGTCGTCATTCGGGGGAAAAAACCACCTTTATCCGTTTTATTAATGGACATTTACCCTTAGTATCATCAGTTTGGCGCATTCCCTCATAACCCTGAAGCCCCAGACTCACTACACCACTCTTGATTCCCATTATTCCCATTATTACTTAACTCTCATACTTAATTTTATTAACCAGCTTCTCGTAGTTCTGCATCTCGCGCCGTCCCATCCTCGGGATATTTATCACCGATGTCTAACATGGGAAGATCACGTAGTCACATTGATTCTCGAGCTGCTGAACGAGCATCGCGACGAGCCCAAACCAGAGCAACTGCTACTAGACCACCCTCTCCACCCTCGTCACGACAGGGCAGGTTCCCTACACGTGGATATGTGTCACAGCGTAAGTTAAACACAAAAAAACAGTTATTGTACTTATCATTTTTCGTAGCAGTTTTCGTATGACTGAGAAAAAGTCGGTGCCGTAAGCGTGCCTTGCAGCGACCGTGATGTTTTCTAGAATTTTGATTGGGTGATTATTCTCGCGCAATTTGGCTGGTCTGGCAGTGCCGTGACCTTGGCGTGACCGTGTTCACACCTAAATGATGCTACCCATGAATAAGTCATCCAGTAATCAAGGAACACAGTGGTATTGTACGAATTTTAAAATGGGCTATTATACTTTGGTTTCTGTTTGATTGCAGCCTCGAGTCGCTCACAGTCTCCCGATCGGCTGGGTTTTGCCGCGAAAGAAAGATCAGAAGCTTTTGTACATGGAACCAGTCCAATCAAGTCTAGAATACCTACACCTAAGTAAGTAGAACACATGCTCCAAACCAATGGTACAATAATTATGCATGCGCAGAAGAAGATATCGTGGAATTGTGAAAACCTATATTACGGTAACAACCCTTTAAAAGTAAATTAAGCTCAACCAATTACATCACGCGAGAACATTATCTCTTACGCCATTGAAATATGATGACCATGAATGTGTATACATTCCATAGCTCAACCAATTACGTCGCGCGAGAACATTATATCTTACGCCATATGAACTCAATTGAAGAATCACTGTCGGGTTCAGAAACATAGAACATAAAATCTGAGACCGAAATGGCACATGGGAAATGACATAACGCCATCCATACAGTCGGTTTAGAATGCCAAAAGCGTATTAAAAACAGTGGATGATGCCACGGGTCGCCGGTCACAGCATGTATCTAATTAACGTACTTCCCATGTGTCATTTCGGTCTCAGCTTCTATGTTCTTTGTTTCTGAACCCGAAAACGATTCTTCAATCAATTGAGTGTATATTCCATAGTCCTTGGTAAATATCACCGTGCGATACATGACATAATCAAATATTAAGTCTGTTATATATACATCCATGGATTGTTCAGGTGGTAGCTCATCTGTGGTGTGCAGTTGGTATATGTCATTTTATTTGCCTTGTATAATTGTACTTACAAGCTACAATATACTTTGGTTACATTAACCATGTGCATAAACCATACATCCATTGCATCATGCGACATACGTGTTGGTTTCTCGCTTAACACCAGAGATTTATCCTTGTCATTTTTTCCTACTTTGATTGTTCCTACTTTAGTTTGGTCCTACTCTGGCTTCAATTTTTTATTGGTGCTGGATTTTTCTTTTGTTCTATTACTTATGTTCTTTCTGTTTCTTTTGTTTCTTTTCGGAATAGCCACAATCATTGTAAAAATTCACGCCGACATGCATGCTCATTTTGATCATTAGTCACCATCAAACTCATACTTTTATGTTTGTGAATACTTGGGTGAACCATACGATGACTTGGTCACCATTACCATGATCATCCATCATTCCCCATAATCTCTCGGCTCATTCCTTTAACCTTTTACTTGGTGAGCCATATGACGACTGGAGGACCATCTCGTTCGTCATTCACCATTACCATGATCACCCATCATTCCCCATAATCTCTCGGCTCATCCCTGTAACCTTTTACTTGGTGAGCCATATGACGACTGGACGACTATCTTGTTCGTCAGTCACCATTACCATGATCACCCATCATTCCCCATAATCTCTCGGCTCATCCCTGTAACCTATTACTTGGTGAGCCATATGACGACTGGACGACTATCTTGTTCGTCAGTCACCATGACCATGATCATCCATCATTCCTCATAATCTCTCGGCTCATTCCTTTAACCTTTTATTTGGTGACCCATATGACGACTGGAGGACCATCTTGTTCGTCAGTCACCATGACCATGATCATCCATCATTCCTCATAATCTCTCGGCTCATCCCTTTAACCTTTTATTTGGTGACCCATATGACGACTGGACGACTATCTTGTTTGTCAGTCACCATGACCATGCTCATCCATCATTCCTCCGCATACATTTCTCATCTCGTTCCTTTAGCCTACCTATGTCTATATCTTGATTCTATTTGGATTTCTTTGTGTCGATATGTTACTGTACAGGGTTTCTAGACACTCGAGCTACGAGTACCTTCCGCCTTCTTCTCCTGTCGACTTGTACCGCTATCCTTGCTTGGCTCCTTCCTCTCCTCGTCTGTGAGTAAAGCTCTATTTTGGTGTTACAGTTATATCTCGAGACTTTCTATAGCATAAACGCAGTCTTTGTTCTACCATGGTATATCGAGAATGTCTACTTAGAGTAAAGCTACATAGTTGGGGTTGCAGTGACAACAAGTGACAGTTTACTGAGGTTGAATCTTAATCGTCATGTTTGCTTTGTGGTGGTACCCTGGTATCGCTTGACTGTACCAAGAGGGTGCCAATGGGGGTACCCAATTGTCGGTTAACTACTAATTTTCCCCTTTTGTCAGTTAAATACTAACCCCAGTGGCACCCTCTACCAAGTGTACTGTGTGATCATAAAGTATGTTTGTTGGTGGTACCATTCGGTACCATGGTTTTTGCGTGACTTACGCATTTAGCCTGACTGTTTGTACAAATGATAAGTTCTTTATTTATCATCGTTAACTATAAATTTTGTGCAAAAAGCTAAAGCGTCTTTGGGAATTTGTTTTTAAATCGTCATTTGAAACATTTGATTTCAGTCGTCCTCGAACTTCATCAAGATCCAGTTCCCGAGCTAGCTCACGGTCAAGTTCACGTGGCACAAGTCGGGATCCAAGTCCTGACACAATCATGAGACGGGAGAGAAGAATCAGTGAGGGCAAGGGCTTCAGTCCTACACAACTCCCCGTAATGAAAAGGAGCAATGTTCAAAGTAAGGCATTTTTCTTATTCTTCATACTCACTCGTCCAATTTCTCTTTTGGTCTACCTGTGCTTTGCCACAGGAAGCCCAAAGGCAACCAGGATTATAGATAAATATGATTCAAATTTTTTGTGGGATGTTTATATCGATTTTTTTTTGCCAGATCCAGTTGTACAACGAGTGAAACAGCAACAACCAACAGATGATGATGAAGCTGGTCTCACGGAGGCTGCTGTTTGGGATTCATGGGTAAGAAATAATGTGAGATCCATAAAGCATGATATATTAATTGTAATAAGAAAAGTAATAATAATGATAGTAAAGAAAAAAAGGCTATTATTATATAAGAAACACAAGTTCTAATTAAAAATAAGTATTTAAAAGGTATAATATAATAATATATATACAAAATATGTGTATAAAGTGAGAAGCAATTATAAAACTTGTATTTAAAAAATGATTATTAATCTATTGCTTATAAATATAAAACATTAAATATATTTGTATAATTAAATATCGAGTCCAAACACTTAAAAAATACGTCCTTTAAACCCTAGTTTGTACAAGAGAAAGTATAAACGAATGGCCTCTTTCTCTTAAAATTTTAGTTTTCTTTGGAGGAAGAAGATGTTGTAAAGAAAAAAATATGAGTATTAAAATAATGATGATAACTAGACATACTTATCGGTAAAGGAAATTGAAACCTAGTGTATGTTCCTAAAAAAAGGGAATCTGAATGTGCCAACGAAGTAATAAAGTTGAGAAAGGATGTGTTTTAAAAGTGAGGAAATGCATTCAAAGTTAATTGATCATCTAGATGTTTTCTAATTTGCCATTTTTTCACGCCACATTATTGGTTGAAATAGCTTAGTTTAAGTCATTAACCAATAAGAGATTGCTTATCACCTAAAAATTAGCACGCGCCTCGTAACAAAAATGAGACTAACTTCGTGTGAAGATACATTTACACAAACCGGTTTAACAGGTTTTTCAAATCCAGTACCAAAACTATGCACAATACCTTTTATGGAGTGTAATCTGTGAAAACCCGTTTAGAACAAAAGGAATGACGTACTCCCGTAACGAACTCGAAAATTCCTTTATGTTCGGCAACTTCGTTGGCAATAATTCAGTTCTAGAGAATTACAACTGGGACTCGATGCCCTTACGATGGTAAAAAGTAGGAAAATAAATTAAAATAAAAAAGATAATATCTACATAAATTAATACAGTTATTCCATAGCTTATTGTCAAAAACATCTAACAGGAGAGACAAAATTCAAATAACCGTAAAGAAATGCCCTGATTTTATATTATACCCTATGATAAAATAGCATATGTAAATAAAGACATTATTTATGAAATACCTGAAATAAATGGTTTAGCTGGACTGTACACGAATGATGTAGATTGAACTATCACTATTGATTCATCCCAATTAGATGGGTTATTATGAAGTGAACACCTAACAGTTTAACACAATTAAAAAAGGGAGTACGATTAAGATCCCTGAGGAACACCTTGATTGATAAACAAAAAATTAGATATATAATTATCAGCTACTACTCGTTCTCAAACACATAATCAATGACTCAACAAAGGATGTCGGGAAATGCTTAGTTTTAAAAATTAAAGCATAGTGAAAAATCAAAGGTAAAAGCATGATATTTGTCATGTGCTGATATAACAGTTTGATAACAAACTAATTCAGCTCGAGGTCCCTTGGGGAAGGCTCTGCTTGATGGTAAACAAACTTTAAAATGTTTTCTATCTAGAAATCGAAAGTATCTTATGAGGGGAAAAACCAGTTTGGAAAAGGTTTTGGATATGACATTAGTAATTTTTTTGCCATCCAGTAACATTCATGTGATTATGTCTTGCAAATGACCTATAAAACGCAATAGTTCTGAGATAGAGAAAGCGGTGCATTTTGGTCTAGCTTGGGAACAAACGTCATTCGTCCACCTTATATGATGTTGTGTGTACCAAAGCTAGACCACATTGACCATTTTTATCGAACTCAGAAAAGGCCTCTAGATTCGCAGTCAGGGATGGCAAACAGGTTTATTATGGAAACGGCACTTGTAACGACACCCATTTCGTAGGAGAGGAACGACAAGTTAAAGGAGAAAGTTTATATCATACACCCTCAACATTCTGCGGTAAAACACCGCTATTGACCAAAAACGGTGTCTTCTGTATTATTTCATTCAGTAACTTCTGTCTTAAGGCATTCCATTTTTGTTTCAGACTAAAAGTCCTGCCAGAAGGAAGTTCTCATTTGGATCAACAAATTCTCACGGATCAGACGAAGACGCAGATAGTGATGCTGGAAGCTCCGAGAGATCCATGGGAACGAGAGGGAATCGAACGCTGAGCAGGGCTGAACCAGGCAATGTGAGTACCTTTGATAAGTCCATCATTAATAAAAGTACAAGCATCCATCGGTCAGATATTTGAAAAAAGTTAATTCATGTTACCTTGGGTTTCCGGGTTATTCTATCTCCAGTCTTGCTCGTCATGGCTCTGGAGTACTTGTGAGGGCATTTGGCACTTATATGGTAATGTTTCATGGAGACACTATAATACTATACGGCCCCGCTGGTACCATTAGCATTATTATGTAATAGTTATTTGCCGAAGGGGAAGTGATTATTGGTGGAATATTTACCGAGTCTTCAAGCGACGAGGTTAATATTCACCAAAATCACTGAGCCTGTCTCTCGGGATACACTTAACTATCTCGTCTTTCTAAAGCTCTTGGTAATGTATATCGTGAGTACGTGCCAGCTGTCTTAATACTTTAGCGAGCGTATGCTTTTATTTGCAATACTCTCCTATGGAAAAGTAAATGCAATATACCAATCCTTTTTTATCAAGCTCGTAAAATATTTTCCTTTAACAGCACTAAGAGTGAAACTTCTAAGTGATTTGACTAATGTACATGCTACATCGTCTCCTAAAACTAGGATTACAGCACTTTTTTCCATTAAAATACTCAAAGCGCACTGTTTCTCATTGCCTTAGTAAAAAAAATCCGTCATCTTTTCCAAATCCGTGTCAATCGCTTGACTAGGTTCCTGATTAGTGGCTATCGCGGCAACGTCTAGGTTCAAGTATCTTGAGTATTCCGTTGCTATTGGACGGTTAGGATCTAAACCCTCTTGGATGTTTGTGGAAGTACAGATCGGATTGTTGTTTTTAGGAAGTATTGCCGACTTTAAGTGCATGAATCAAGTAATTCAGACAATAACAAGTCTTTCAATTTATACGGAGGTATAAAATACTAGTTAAGAAATTTTTTTCCCCGGACTTTCAATTAAATTTTTAATTTTTCGACTGGTTTTTGTTAGAGTGAGAAAATTCACAGTACGTACGAAACGGCACAGCAAGGCCACTGCGCCCATTTGCCATGGTTTTTGTTCTTTTATTTATTATTATTATTATTATTTTATCATTTTTTTCATTTTTTTATTTTTTTGGTGTGTGGGTTGTTTTTTTCATTCCAGTCGATTCTTTTCATTTCATATCTTTTCCTTTCCGTGGCCTTTCTTTTATATTCTTTTCTATCCATTTTCGTTTCGTTTTCGATTCCTTTCCTTTCCTTTTTTCTTTTTTCTTTTTCGTTCGTTTCCTTTCAAAGACGGAAAGATGTAAATGGTGCAATTCAAAATATTCGTACAATTATGAAATTTTGGCCCTGTTTTCTTCCTTCCTTCCTTCCTTCC